GAGATAAATATTTAATTACGATTACGATATTATTCAAAATTCATAATCCATTATAATAAAATGTTCATTTTTCAAAATTCATAATTATACATTATAATAAAATGTTCATTTTTCAAAATTCATAATACATTATAACAAAATGTTCATTTTTCATCAACTGTAAATCGTCTCATCTCAGTTTCTCAGTGTCATAATCTTTTCTTCCTATCGTTATTTTTGTAATTTCTAAAAATTGTCTTCTCATCATACAGGCATCTTTCATTACACTTACATTAAATTTATTTTTTTTAACTTTCCTTTAAGTCCCCTAATCCCCTAAAGCTCTACCCCTTTCCTTTCTACTACCTCTACTCCAGACCTTAATCTCTCCTTTAGGTGAGTTCATAATGCCAGACAGGTAAATGCCGCGTGTTGTTTTAACTAATTGTAGGGGAACTGGGTTGTAGGGGAAATGGGATGTAGGGGTTTTGGGAGATAACCTTTACAGAAGGGATTAGAGGTTACACCTGACTGACCGTGCAGGTCCAATTTATTCCCCGTGTAATTCTATCCGGGGTGTACAACCATGAACTATATCTAGCCTAAGAAGGTCAGGTTCAAGTATTATTTGCAACACATTCAACAGTCATTAAATATGTTGGGGTGACAAGCAGCAAGTTTGGACAACTTCGAATGCCATCCTTCTACATGGTTTGTTGTCCTTGGACCTACATGTCGAAATGATTCCACATGAATCTCTCTCCACCCTCCACCCACTGCTCAGTCACATTTATTGCATTTCGCGGACGGGGTAGGTGGGGAAATAAAGATAAATATTTTAAATATGAAAATCACCATACCCAAAAAACTGTAACTAATTTCATTAAATGAACACTATTCATATTTATCTGTGATTACTGGTCAACATGTATGTCTTATACTGGTGAACATGGTTCATGATCGGGGGCAACTCATTTGGTGTAGCACCTGTTGTTTTAAGGGATTACCATGCTCCAGTGACCTGGAACCTGTAACAATAGGAACTGGCAAAGTGAGAACACCCCCACAAATCTTTTCCTTTGTAAGCGTGTGTATGTTACGGTCAATTTGTAAAATGTAATTCTCTCAGTATAAAATGTCTAAATATTTTAGTCATTTTACAACTGACTGAAAAATCCATTATTTAACAGATTGACGTTAAAAAGGGCTTAAAAACATCACATTAGATTAATTATTATAGGATTAGAAGCCAAACAATATAGAAATGTGCTTTAAATTATTACATTTTCAGTCACTTGGTGATGATATTAACCATAAAATTGTTAGGAATTCGTTGTCATATTAATACAGATGGACATATTTTTCAGTCAATTGGTAAAATTACTGAATATTTAGGCGTTTAATTAATTTAGTTACTTTTGTTACGTAGATGTTGTATGTTTAGTTAAATAACATGCGCCTAAGTAAACATTTGCTAAGTCAAATACAAAAGAAATGTTTGGACGGAGAACATAATTGAAATAACGAGAAAATGATCAAAGTAACGAGAAATAACTAAAACTTTCGAGTTTCTGAAATAAACTTGAAATAACGAGCAAATAATCGATGTAACAGAAAAAAGTCGTGGCAACGAGAAAAAAACTTTAAGCAACGATTGTTGCAAAACTTATTTCTAAAACGTTTATCTTTACTTTAAACCACAGAATTTCTGCACATGTATACATCAGATGTATTTCGAAATTAACGGGGGCGGTCGGGTAGCCTAGTGGTTGAAGCGTTCGCTCGTCACGCCGAAGACCCGGGTTCGATTACCGACATGGGTACAATGTGTGAAGCCCATTTCTGGCGTCCCCTGCCATGATATTGCTGGAATATTGCTAAAAAGAGGCGTAAAACCATACTCACTCACTCACTCGAAATTAACGGCGATTTTAGTTTCAACAAAGTCAATAATTGGTGAAAGTTTCTTAAAGAACTTCATCCGTCATGGGTCTTAAATTAAACAAAATTCAGATTTTGTTGGGTACAGGGTATTCATGGTCAAGTACCGTATTGATGTTTCATACACTTTTCTGGATTTCGAGTTATTTTGCAATTCATCGTTCTCATTTGGAGTCAAACGGACTGTACTTATTAACATGACTTATTAACAATAAACTCGATAACAAGTTTCGTTTTCATTCATGAAAATACATGTTGGAAACATGTATGACCTATATGAGGTCCTCTCAGAATTTACCCCAAACCAGTTGTTTCACTAGAATCGATGAGTTATCTCCCTTGTAGTTCATTTGTGGAAATCCAGTGCAGCCACCAAATACCAATATTTGAATATAAATCTGAAAACGTTTGATCCACTGCTTTTTCCGTTACATGAAATGTTGTGTGATTCATGAACATCATCAGCTTGTACAATGGCATTCCCCGCACACAACACTTAAATGAGACCATATTTATGGTAAGTGCTTGTTCTTGTTTTACAGGGGGGCAGGGGTGGCCCAGTCGTCTGAGGCGCCGCGATTCGCTGTGCAGAGTTGCGTACTTTGGGCGTGCCAGAAACCTATGATTGTGGGTTCGAATCCCGGTTCGCCCCGATTATGTTTCTAGGTTTGTCAGCACCATACCCGTGCTCGTGGGTTTCACCGAAGTGGTAAACGTCTAAGACCTGCATCACTTCGGGCTTTCCTCCCACATTAAGCTGACACGCCGCGATATAACTGGAATAGTGTTAAAAGCGGCGTTAAACCCAACTCACTCACTCACTCTTGTTTTACAGTCCCATTTGCAATTACAGCAGATGATGTCCAGGACTGCTGAAAGTGTTGAAGTCTGATCTGTCTGTATTAGTAAGCAACGTCCATCTATCCTGTGTCATCCTGTGCCTTAAGCTATCCAGTCCTTCCTCCTAACATCAAATAAAGGCACAAGTTAATGTTCGCCTGTTTTGTATGTACAGAAGTGCACCCAGACGTGCAATAAAGTGCTGTTTGTTTTTTGCGTTGTTCATGAATGCTTCCTTCTTCGATCGAATGACCATTTCCTGTGAAATAAACTGTCACTCCACTACAGTACTGTTCTTACTTGAACTACCAGCACTGTTCAAGTAAGAACTCTGTAGTCACCCGCCAGCATTGTTTGAATTATCTGCAGGCCAGGAAGGCAACCCTTGCTGATGCTATCTGGAAAACCCTCCAAGTTAAACAACAAAAACCTGGAAATGTGGCTTGGGAAAGGGTCTAGCAGTAAAGACAATCATGAATGATGCCTTGTTCTGCCATCAGGCTAAACATTTCAGCCAAACAGGGAAACTGGGGATGAAAAAGTCATCACCGAAGCAGGTGAACATATGTCTTTATTTGGCGGATATGGCGGATATAAGGTGGAAGGACTGCATAGCTTATGATACAAGCGATGCTATGGAGAAGGTGGCGAATAACTGATCACATGCAGAGCCATACACTCTGCCAGCAACCTCTGCAGTCGCAAGATACCACAGCCCCCATGTCAACTACCTGATAAAGGAGTGGAAAGGGTCCAATGTGAATCCATTTGAGCGGGGATGGCACAGGACAGATGGACGTGGCTTATCAACACAGTCAGATCAGACTGCAGCACCTTCAGCGCAACTTGATATTATCTGCTGTAATTTCAAAGAAAGACTGTAACACGCGAAGATGCACTTGTCGGAAATATGGTCTCACTTGCAAATTTTGTGTGCAGGTAATACCATGGTACAAGCTGTACCAATAAACAGTTACCAGACTTCTTGGGGGATGACAAACCTGTTGAGACTTTCGAGGTACATGTATATAATGAACCTGCAACGTCAAGTTGCAGCACTCACTGTGACATTTTTTCCACTGTTCATCACGTAATAATGTTCCTGGATCACACAATCATGTGACGGAATGCGCAGTGGATATGAAGTTTCAGATTTATATTCAAATATTGGTATTTGGTGGTTATATTGAATTTCAGCAAATGAACTACAAGGGAGATAACTCATCGACTTCTTGTGAAACAACTGGTTTGGGGTAAATTCTGAGAGGACCTCATATAGGTCATCCTTGTTTCCAACAAGTATTAACAGGAATGAAAACGAAACTTGTTATAGCCTTTATTGTCATGTTAATAAGTAGATTCAGACAACAACAGTCAAACATTGATATCTAAACTCGCCACAACATGTCATTTAAGAGATAAATATTGATATTTGGTGATCATATTGGATTTATTCAAATGATTGAGTATTCTACATACATCCTTGGGTCTGTTCACCCCAATGTAGAAGTTCAAATCACTCAAATATGTCATCAGAGACCAACAGTGTCTTGACATTGTATGTCTAGCCATCAAACTCTTGGCGGCCATCTTGGAATGTTGGGCCACCAGGGGGCTCTGGTGACGGTATTTCTTATCTAAAAGTGTTAACTATACTTCAGCGAGTTAGTGTGCCAAGTTATATGCATAAAAGTCCTAGCACACTGTTTTAGAGATAAACGATTCAACAGTGTAAACACACATTTAGGAAACGTGGCGGCCATCTTGAAATTGGCGGCCATCTTGAATTTTTGCAGATTTGTCAATAATCGAAAACGTTCAGGAGTTGTGAATATCATTTTAGAAACATAACATGGATATTTCGCAAGACAACACATGCTTTTTTTCATCAAAACATTGACCCTCATCTGACATATTGAATATATATTGTAATTGGTGGCCATATTGGATTATGCAAATTAGACATATTTCCCAAACTGGGATTGCTTGGGACTTTTAGTATGTTGTTTTCGGGACCTTGTAGAAATGCATTATGGTAAAATAAATTCTGTTGCTATTTGTTCCAAGTTTAGTGAAAAAATGGCCTAGATTCCCCGGACTATAAGGCATTTTAGTCGTTAAGTGTTTGGTATTCATCATCCAGGCCAATGGCATTGCTGAATATTTTAAGGAGGAATGTTGTAAGCCAGACGGGGTTGGGAAAGGTTTGGGACGTGACTGTGCATCCCATTTCATGATCACCCATACGTCCGTGACACCTGCGTGATAAAATTGCTAAGATATCATGTCTGCATGAACCCTGAAAGGCAAAAGGTTAGTTTTTTTTCTGGTGTGAATGCTTGTCTGAATCTAACTGTACAGAAAGCGGTCAGATAACATACAGTAGACAATCATCTTTATAATGACAGTTTTATATTTAAAATAACCATTACGTGATCGAATCCCGGTTCGCCCCGATTATGTTTCTAGCTTTGTCAGCACCATACCCGTGCACGTGGGCTTCACCGAAGTGGTAAACGTCTGAGACCTGCATCACTTCGGGCTTACCTCCCATATTAAGCTAACACGCCGTGATTTAACTGGAATACTGTTAAAAGCGGTGGTAAACCCAACTCACTCACAAAAGCAGGCAACTGATTTGTATTGTGATGCAAGTCCAGCTAAAAGACGAAGCTAGGATTATAGTAGATTAACAACTTGTTGTCAACATTATCAATTGTTATTTGTTTCCAACGGTAAATTGTGATATAACCATTGACTACTATTGGCTATAAGAGATGGTGATCACCTCCCTGCAAAATATGTCTTTACTTGCAGCTAACGCAAAACAAACAAAGGTGAAGCAAACATCAAGAGTGTGCGACGTTCAGATCATTTATCTATCATGTCTTCAAAGTTACTCACGTCAACGGTAAATGCATCGACATCTGCAAGATATAATCCAACTAGCCCCAAAGCGTCCATTTATATTCCTTTTGGACAAAGTGGATCTGGAAGCTATGGATCAACTCTTGGAAAACTGCATGCTGGATATACAGAGCCAATACAATCCAAAGTCTTCAAATTAGCATTGTCCATTCCTTGTCAAAGTGGTTCAGTGTTCAACATAGGAGACTATGGCACAGCAGATGGTGGCACTTCTATGGTCTTTCTGGGGCAACTGATAACACTTCTGAAACAACAACATGGTCCTGACGCCCAATTCCAGGTTATTTATGAAGATCAGGGCGAAAATGACTTCAAATCGCTGTTCAAGCGATTGGCTGGAATTATCCCCGATCCGCCTTCCTACCTTATTGAAATGGATAACGTTTATGCTCTTGCTTGCGGGACAGACTTCTACAAACAATGTGTACCTTCACATTCCATGCATTTCATCATGTGCATGATGTCTGTACAATGTCTTTCCAAACTGCCAACAGTATATAAGGATTCCGTCTACATTTGTCACGAGAGCCCCGAGGACGAAAAGGAAGCTTTGAGGAAACAGGCCCAGTTGGATTGGGAGAGATTCTTGCTGATGAGGAGTAGGGAAATGAAAGAAGGGGGTGTACTTTTTGTTGGTGCTCCTGCTGAATATGTGCATCAAAAGACTGGTCAAAAAAGATTTTGCAACGACACGTTAGTGACTCTCATGACTGACGTATGGAAATCATTCACAATCTCTGGTAAAATCACAACACAAGAGTTCATTGATACAAATATATCATGCTGTGTGAGGAACTTGGACCAGATGAGAGAACCATTTGTGACGGAGAAGTCTCAAGTCGTTGAATCGGGATTGCGTCTCTTGTCTTCAGAATTGATTTTCAACAAAAACATCTTCTACTCTTCCTGGAAGCAGAAGAAAAACGACGAGGGAATTGACGACAGGGATGGATTTGCCAGGGCGATGGTATCAGCCCACAGGAACTGGAGCAACCACAGCTTCATGGACGGTCTCGCAGAGTCCCGCTCACTGGAAGACAAGGCGAAGATTGTAAACACCATGTATGCTAATGTCACCACGGAAATTGCAAAAATGGATCCTGAACTGTTTAAGGATGATATTTGTACCATACATGTTTTGATCAAGAAGGTATAAGTATGAGTAAAGGCTCTTGAATATGTTTCTATTTGTCTATCCAGAGATTGTGAAAGGACCTGCAATTTTGTCCGTTGACTTTATGTCGAGATAAACTTGCTGGAGAATGGTTTGTCTAGTTATAATTTTTCTGTACAGTGGAAGTACTCATCATATATATTGATATAAATTAAAATTTTCGAGGACTTGGAAGAACAAAAAATTAATTGAATCATGTAAAGAGAACGATTGCTACATTAATGATGATCGAAATAGCATTCAATGTGGTAATTTATTGTGTGGTACATATCGATATTGCTGGAAATGTGACATGTAATGTTAAAATAAATAAACAATATAAAAAACAACTGTATATGTGAAAGACTTGTTCTTAAGATATTTTGTTGAAAGCTTTTGAGATAAAATTCTTAATTACTGGCAATTGAAAGCAACCTAAAGGGAGATAACTCTACAACGTTTTGATAGGTTATTCAGGTCATTGATACGAGTTGATACGAACTTTTAAAGCGAGCTAGACGTGGGTAATATTCACAGTCCATACCGCCGCAGCATGACAAATAAAAGGAAGAGTGGGGAATCTTGAGGACAAGGAGGGCAGGACGAAAATAGGCAAGGCTTGACAGTGACCGGGACCGCAGACATCTGAGCAGGCCACCGCCGCAGACATCCAGTGCCAACCGCTCCGTCCAAGATGGCGCCATATCGGGTGAGGTTATTCGTAACATAATTCCAATTACTCCTCCTGAAATCCTAGATATGTCTCACCCTCAGCTAGGCCCATCTAACAACCCTCAGAACGTTCCTATATCTTTCGAAAGCATGGTAGATACCACTGGCTCTTCCGTCCCGGGCTCGTCAAACGACACGTCCAATGCAGCACATGTATGTTATGCTCCCCCGTCCATGGCGACATCCACACAGCACACTGTCGCCGATATCAGCCAAATGTGTATTCCACTAGCTGGGGATGATTTGGGGGATATTGTCCCACAGCATATTAAAGATTTGGAATCATGAGTATGTGGATTTAGCCATAATGTTCGAAACAATTAAGGAGTCATTATGTTCTGATAGCGGTTTAGTAGGTTAATGGGCCTAAATAACAGAGGCAATCTGGAGATAGTAAACCGCCTGCAGTCAGAAACTGCAAACACGAAAACGTCGTTTATTTTCCGTATACTCTGGGATAAGTCAGTGAGTTTGATTGCATGCCCGTTCAAGATACCCTCGGTACAACACACCTAGAGAAAAAACAACGAAAAAAACCCAATCTACAGCTATCTATGAATTTACTTTAGTATCTATTTGACATATCTTTACAATCACCTTTCAATGATCGGCCAATTGATCAGTGATGACAAAGGCTTGAGATAGCCACAGGTTAATAAACAACTTCGGAAATATCTCCCGCCACGTTTATCATGTCGGCCATTTTGACGTCTTGTACTTGTTGTAAATGTATCACGACGCTCTGTCATTGTGATTGACTTACTGAGGTAGTTCTTAACAGACCTCAACTAATGAGGATATGTTTTGTAATACATTTCTTGTGAACAAACTAAAACAGATGTTCCTTGCTTTTGGGGGAACTATTTTATTCCGGGATGGCCTATTAAAGCTAGTAGTGAGTCAAGGCACCATGCGTGTATATGATCTGTTATTGTATGTGTTTAGCAAATACGGTTTTATGCGTTAATAAAATACACTGACGCAAGTATATACTGATCAAATCAATTGGATAATTGAATATGCTTGATTTTACATATTACATAACATCACTACACAAAATTTGGACTGTTGCATTAACACACTACGGTGATCGCATTGAACACCACTTTGAACAGTATTTCAGTTATATCATGGCGTATCAAACTGATGTGGGATAAAAATCCGAACTGGTTCAGGCCATCCAACGGGTGTTCGCGAAAAGATGAGCAAATCCTGAAACACAGATGGAACCCGTCAGAAACACATGCAAGGACAAGTCAATTGTTCACCTGAACAAAGCACGGAAACACAAAATGATGCCCGTCTTCTCTATTACCGAGCATGTAAATTATATTGTCCGTCAAAAACATGGACGTGTATAAACAATATGTTCCTACAGGTAATACATGTCATACAGAGATGTAGTGACAGTAGTGACTGGTATCTGATGGGTGCAAACAGGTGTCGAGTCGCTGTCTCAGATGGCTCAAATTTCGTAGCTCTAAAGATCACGACGGCGATACAGACCGTGAAGTAGTTTGTCGCACAGTCCCTGAACCATATTATTTTCCCTTCCGCCCAGGCCTTAGTGTAATGCTATAGCCCAAAATAAAACAAACCTGGATGTTCAACAGGTTCAGGCTGAAATTTCGATCCCACTGGGACTCCTTTTAAATTTAAATATAGTTTCTCGTTTTAATCAAAATAATGTATTTTCAGAGACTAAGCGTTAGTCTAACCACGAAGTACAACTATCCAAAAGTTCCCATGCATGTCTATATTTCTTCAGACAGACTCTCCATGTTCCTATCGATATATTGTCTAAAGACAAATGAATTAAATATTACAGCACTGGTGAATAGGTTTTATGCGCATGTCAGCGTCGACCCTACAATATCCTTTTGCGCAAAATGAAGATACACTGATGAACTAACGTAGTAATACGACGCAAATATATGTCCAGATGTATACATCAGTTTCATCTCGTGTTCTTAACTAGATCTTTTTCTACAGGAGATTATGGAGTGTAACATCACACCAGAAAGCCAGGTCCAAATTCAAGTCATAATTTCATGGTCCGTCTTGTATGCTGGAAACCAATATCGCAATATGGCTGAATATTGCTGAAAGTGGTATTAACCCGAGTACTCACATAATTATTCCATTTTCTTCATACACGTTCTACAATCATCTACGATCATAATCTATAAGGAGGTATATCTGTATTCATCCAAATGTCCATACATATATGTCCACATATACATGTATTATATGTCAGGGGAGCAAGCCATTCACGTTGTTTTGTTGAAGAGAATCCTGAACAAGTCAGGCCGGGCGTTGTCATGTTGAAAGGTAATGCCTGGGCATTGACGACGCAAAAACGATAGAACAACAGGGCCGATGACCTCGTCGCGGTAGCGCTGTCCATTGAGATTTCCCTCTTCCACTATCAAGGGGTCGTCTGTCTTGCTGTAATCCCACCCCATACCATAACGCTGCTGCCCCCGAACCGATCTTTTTCCATAACACAATGATTGGCGTAACGTTCACCTCGACGCCGGTTCACTCGAATCCGTCCATCGCTGTGGTTGAGGTGAAAACGAGACTCGTCAGTGAATAGAACTTGTCTCCACTGCATGGCCGTCCAGCGTAAACGCTGTCTGCACCACTGTAGACGTGCTTGACGGTGGTTTCCTGTCAAAATGGGACGTCTGGTGGGTCTTCTGGCGACAATCCCTGCACATCTGAGGCGACGACGTACGGTTTGTGAAGATATTCGTCGAAGGCCAGGGATGCTTCTTGTAGTCACTGTTGCTGGCTGGAATCTATTCGTAGTTGTGTTGTTCGAATCCAGTTGTCTTGTCGATTATTGGTTACGCGTGGCCTGCCACTCCGAGGATGGTCTCTGACTGCATTCGTCTGTTGCCGACGTCGCCATAAACACCAAATGGTGTTTCTGTGGACGTTAAATTGTCTTGCAACATCTCGTTGCCTCGATCCTGCTTCAAGCATACCAATGGCTCGCAGACGCTCATTTTCGGACAGGCGTGGCATGTCGTGATGTTGAATGATTGCGTCATGTTGTTTTTTTTCTGAGTGTTTGTTGACAGCACGATGCTAAACAGTGCACATGGAATCCCGTTAACGCACATGTTTTTATACCAATTCTTGGGTAGTAAAATGCATGGGGCTTGCATAAAAGTCAACTTTTGCATGGAATAAGCTTTTCTGCAGCAGTTGCGTTTTTGTGACTTGATTCCATACATGTACAACAATATTGAAAACTGTTGAGTATGTGTTTGTGATTCACCCACCCTTGAAAAATATTGAAAGATGAGTGGTAACTATTATGTCATTACTTCAAATTAGAATGAGTAGACGGCATTTCCAGGTTTTATGTATCAATGACCAAAATGATGTCTGATGCAAGTCTCTATTTTGACTTGTACCGTGTGTTCCTGTGTCTTTTCGGATGAACAATTGGCTTGCCTTTGCATGTGTTTGTGGCGGGTGCGACCAGTGGACTAGGATGAGCTCGCCTCTTTGCGAGCAACCAGTGTCATCATTTTTCATGGTGAAACATGACGCATGCTCCTGGTTTTGACGGAGTCGTGCAGTTGGCGCTACTTTTGGCAAGGGTTTCTTATGATAATGGAAAGGCTTATGTCGCTTTTCTAAACATGACATATAACGTCAGTGTATATGGTCATGCAATTAAGAAACAAACGGCGAGTGGGAGTTGTTTATTGTACGATAAACAACGACCATGACTCGTTTATTTCTTATATGAAATATCAACATTACACAGCAACGCATTACGCATTAAACAACAAACGAATCATAATATCTTTACCTCTTTCTCCATGTTTAATATGAAAACATAATACCTTTTTTTATAATCTGAAGGAATAATAATGACAGTAATATCATAATAATATCATCATTGTTTATGTTACTTATCCTCAACTTAAGTAGTCCTCAACTCTATACATTCAGTGAAGAAGCCCATGAACATATTAACTATGTAACATATATTAATGGAAATTAGATGAACAGTTGAAGTTAGCAAATGATATTATTCGGTCGAACGTCTATCAGCCAAAACTACATGATTGAATTGTCTACAGTGATTTTTGCAAGGCTACTCTCATAAATGCCATGACGCATTTTAGGCCAGGGCTCGATACTCGTATAAATGTGCTAACTTATTATTGCCTTAGTTTCATGATTTACAGTATTCAATAAGATGAATACGTGTTATAAAGTTGTAAGCTTCTTCACAACCGTGTAACTATAAAATGACTTTATTGGGTAATAAAAAAAGAGATGGGGACCTAAAATAGCCACATATCACACGATTTCGCGGGTCCACCTTCTTGGATGCAAGGCGAAAACATTTGAACGCGTTTGAAGCCACTGGGAATGCCCCCTGCAGGGTTGGACGAACATTTTGCGGTAACGCGGCGGTGTTGACCAAAGGCTATCAGCTGTATTTCCTGTCTAGGTTATTTCGGTCCGTTGTGTGTGTGCGTGCGTGCGTGCATGTGCGTGCGTGTGTGTGTGTGTGTGTGTGTGTGTGTGTGTGCGTTAGGGAGGG